CTTCTGAAAAATGCTCTATATTCATCTGTGCCAGTGAATGACACATTGTTTCTGTTAACTATATTTTTTGCACATATTCATCTCTTTCATGTAGGATTCCTATAAAGCTGCTGAAACTTGAAATGGTGTAAGTTTTGCTGGAACAGAAACCAGTTATTAAAAACGGGTAGGATACAATTCCAGTTGCTCTCAGTCAGAGCTGTATTACCCCTCTTTGGGCACTCTCCACCCTCCAGAGCACAGGCAATTCAGTAACAAAACAGTTTAGAAAGAATTCGCAATATAAGAGAGATGGCACTAATTAGGCAAGGAGGCATTGATCGTTGTGAGGCTTTTGCAGGAGCAGAGGAAGGTGGCTGGCATCCAAGCCCTACATTTCCTGGAATACAAAGAAAAAGGAGTACCTAAATTGGTAATGTTTGGATGCAGATTGAAAGATTGCCATGCTGCGAGTATTTTATAGAGAAAAGAAAAGAATTAAGTCAAAAATAAGATGTTTTTCTTTTGTTTGTGGAGTGAAATGGGAGTATTTGATGACACTGGAGATTCTGCATGTGACTAGGAATGTGGCTACAGTGACATGGAATAAGTCTGGCAAGAGGCATCCTTGTCAAAGAAGACTTCCCAGAGTGCTTCAGCACAACCAGCAGTCTGAACTCTAGTAGTTATTAGTTTCCTGCATTAATTCACTGTTCGTTTATTTTTGTAAGGATGTGATCTTAAAGACACTTGAAGTCCAGAGTAGTTTCCCTTTGACTTAGCAGACTGGCTTAGGCTCTCAGTCTCAGGAACATTCTGCCTAATGTAAAGCATCTAAGACTCCTAATTTAAGGACCACAGTCATCCCAGAATACCTTTTATAGCCAATGGATACCTATGACAAAACATGAATTGAAAATGAGAAATATGTATTTATATAAAGTAAAATTTAAAAGTTTTTATTTACCATTTCATTGATGGATGACATATTACTAATTTGAAAAGGAATTCCGAGAGCCTAACATGACTAATACATAGTTTAGGATAATTAATCTTTTATATAGTATCCTGTATATCAAGAATAACAAATATAATTACTACATCAGTGTTTGTTGGTATAGAGCAGATAAAGTACCAATATTTGAGATCAAATCAGTTGCTTCTTTGGAAGAATGTAAGGTTTTCTTGAGATGATTCCAAGTACTAACTTAATGTCACCTTAAGAAAAAAAGAAACCACAATGCTGACAGTTCTGCCTTCATATTTCATCCTCTAAATCTGTAACAAAAACATAAAAAAACTTTTCCACAGAAATAAGGGTCTTTTTCTAGGTTAATGATGGCTATACTAACTCTCAGGTTGACTTCAGAATTTAAAAGAAATGGTGCATACTGTGCACTTCCCCCCACAGTATGTCTTAATCCCTGACTAGTGAGAGGTCATTTTTTAATGTCCAGAGCAATCCATTTCTCCATATAGAAAAGATGCCAAACAGAGTGACCTGAGCCTATTTTAGCAAACCCCCAGAAAGATGGCTTTATGTCTTGGGAAAATTATCAAAAGCTTCCCACTTTTTCTGTCTGGCCATAGCACAAAAAGCAGCTAGATTTAGACAAGACAAATCTATGGAGGCAAGGAAACTGAAGACTACGACTCTATATATTTGGGCTGATTGCAAGTTTGACCAAAGCATTATTTTTTTTTTTATTTGCAAGGTAGAATCAAACATCTTCCTCTGTGAGACACATTCTTAATCTCATGACCCACTTCTTCAGTGAGGTTGTGAGCAGCACTCTAGAAATCCCTACAAACTTTTGCTACTTAGAAGGTCTCAGGAATGTTCCCTTCATTTAAAAAAAAACCCTTTCAAAACAAAACACAAAAAGCCCAAACCTCTTCTGCTCAGACTGAGAAGCATTCAGACCTTCAAGCAAGCAATATATGAGAAGAGGCAGATCAGTAGAATATCCTGCTAGTGGTAACCAGAATGGGTTTTGAAAGAAATGTTTATATTTTGAAGAGATAATCTTGTTTCTATAAATAAATTTTAAAAATCCTTTCCATTGGTTGACCAAATAGTAGATAAATATATGGGGTTTTTTTATGGAAGGTGTTCTTACTAATCCACAAGGTGAAAAATAGCATATATTCAAAAACCAGTTATCTCCATATGATTTTATGCACTTGGTACTGAGTGTACAAAAAAATTAATATAAGAATAAAGGAACTGTGAAATTATCTTCTAGTCTAAAGAAGTAGCAAAGAAAAAAGTTAGATGTATGGCTGAATCTTAAGGTTAAGGTTTACAAGGTGGTTTTAAATATCTGTAGGGTTCTTTTCTCAAAAGGAAAGACCACTGACTTAATACTAAAGGAATTAAGAAGAGGGAATGTACATGTGCATTCAGTCTATAAGGAAAATTTGTGGTTTCAAACATTCTAAATATTTCTAAAAAATAATTAAGAAAAAATGAAATGCATTACTGTAAACTTATGCATCATCACTGTTATCTTCTTTAAACCATAGAGAGTTCTTTGTACCTCATGACTTTGGAAAGAATTAGAAATAGCTCATATTAGAGTCCATTGTGCATTCCCCTTAGAACCACTTTCTTCTTTTCCTACAATTACTAGGATTTATTTTCTTTGATTGAAAATAGGATTTTTGTCTAATTTGAGTCCTTGCTATTTAATTCCTACTTGAAGTCATAATCCTCCCTGTCACATCACACCAATGTCTTTGTAGCCAATTCCAATTTCACAGGCAGGATTTTGACTCAGGAAGAACTGAATACTTAGGTACACTTTACATACCAGAACTTAGTCTTCCAGAAACATACAAAATAAGGAATGCTGCAGCCAGATAATTTCAAGGCACTAGCTGTGAAAGTTTGAGCTCCTGTTTATCACTTTTCAGTAGTATATTAATCAAGAAGTTAATAGAGTATACAGTTTTCTTTCCAAGATTCTGCTTCTGAGAGATGCCTCTCTGATACACAGGCTGTCCACAAAAATTTAAGGTGAGGTGACCATTTTTCCAAGCAGTCAATGGTGTCAATAGAGACGCTTCCTCCCTATACAGGGAAAACCCTGTGTTGCAAGACTTCTATTCTGGAAAAACTGCAAAAGAAAAAACAACTGAAAGCAGTAATTGTTTTCTGTAAAGCTAGGCATATTAAAAATGTAAGAACAGTTATTAATTACAAAAAGAATTTATAGTTGAAAAAGAAACCTCTTGATTTTCAGGAAAGGAAGTCCTGTATTGTCTCAGTGCTGAGCTGACAGGATCATAAATTGCGCTGTATTAATTGCTACAGGGCTGCCTTTCTGTAGCATCAAATAAAACTCCCTAATCTTTCATATGGGAAAAGAATACTCACATCACTGAAAGCTCAATATCTGTAGTTGACCCACTGATTTCACTTTAATGGATTTATAGGATATCATGTACTGAACTGTTGAAATAGAAAAAAACCCAACAAAACAACAAACAAACAACTTCGGGAAACATACAGAAATTATCCTTTATTTTATGTGATATTTTATTTCAAGTGACTTGATATATGCGATCATCATCACAAATTTTACCAGGTTAGGAATTGCACTCAAACACTACTAAAATCTCTTCTCTCCGTACCTTCAAGCATTTCTTGTAGGAGCAGCTTAGAGACTACAGTACTGTGAATGTTTATCTTTTTCATGGGACCTTAGTCAGAAGCAAATATATACTGAAGCAGAGCATATTATTAAAATATAGAAGAGAGTTAACTGTCAAGCTTCAGTGTGTATTTGGTTTATTTTTGTTTGTGTTTCTTTGGTATATACCTGAAGTAGGTTATCAGAGTGGAAGGTTTGGTTGTAAGATCTTCACGTACAAAGGAACCTATTTAATCCGTGCTTCTTTCGGAAATCTCTTACTACCAAACGGAAACACACGCAAATCAGAAGGAGGAGTACCTTCTGGTATCTTGTTGCAAGTCTGTGAAGAAAAGGCGATTTAAAAATCTTGAAAAATACAGACCGTTCCCTCTACTTATCGGTACTAACAGAGCGCCACGCGAAACTCGGGAAATTACGTGCCCGTCTACCGCGGAGATCCAGCGGTTCCGCGAACTCGGCAGCGGCTGGAGGCGGCAGAGCGGGGAGTCCGGCGAAGGGACTCGGGGCGAGGGGCGCAGGGGGCGCGCCCGCTCGGCCCCGCAGCGGCTCCCTGGCGGGAGCTCACTTCCCGTCATCCACGCGCCATCTAGCGTCGGGAAAAGGGGGGCGGTTTGGCACGGGAGCGGAGCGGAAAGGAGGAGGAAAAGGCTCCCACACCCGTCCCAGCTCTCGCCGTTCCCAAAGCTGGTAAGAGCCATTTGGATATTGCAGCCAGAACTCCGGAGTGGCTCGGGGCGGGTTGTGAGGAGCATCGCCACGCTTCACTCCCAGGCATCTCATCTCCCCCTTCTTTTAGTGAACCGTTCCCCTTCCCTTGAAAGCAGCTAGCGCTCCCCAGAAATCCCCTCGGTACCTCACCGTAAGCCATCGCCGCCGCCCCGATCCCTACCCAAAACACCGCGAACTCCAAAGGGTCTTTACGCCGCTGCCGGCGGAGGGGTTGGACCGCGCGATCCTGGCCCTGCAGAGACACACACCGACACACGCACACACACCGACACGCACCGACACACACGCACACACACCGACACACGCACTGACACCGACACACAGGCACGCACACAAACACATACACACGCACACGTAGGCTCAGCCGCGCTCCCCGCCTGCCCTGCCGCCGCCGGCGTAGCCGCCCGCAGCCCCTTTGTTCCGCCCGCGGAGCGATGCCCTGCCCGCCCGAGCTACCCCGCGCCCCGCTCCGGCACCCGGCGCCGCCCGCCCCTGCGCCCCGCGCCCGCGGGCGGCGGCGGGGTGGCATGGCCCGCCCGCCGCGGGGGAGGCAGCGGGAAGCCCCTTCCCCGCCCCCGGCCGCGCCAGGGCCTCGCCGCCGCCGCCGCCCGCAGCCCGCGGCAGCCCCGCGGCAGGGCAGGGGCAGCGGCCGCAGCCGCAGCCGCGCCTGACAGCGGCCCCGCGCCGCAGGATCCGCGCCCCGCAAGGACGTGCTCCGCCGAGCTGCCAGGCGCGATTACGTTGTTTTTTCCCCCCACCCACCCCTTGAACTTGTTGCTTGGCGCTCGGCTGTGGCGGAGGGGGGTGGGGGTGGGGGAAAGCCTTATTATCGATGTCCCTTTGGATGCGATCAAGCTTTCTCAGGAGCAACTACTTCCTCGCCGTTCCCGGCGGGGCGCGGAGATCTAGCAGCAGAGCCCGTATTTCCAAAAGTCTCTATGCAACTGAGCGCTCTCGCCAGACTTTCACAGGTAGGTGCCGCAGGCTGGGCACGTCCGGAGGGATGCTAGAGCTGACCCGAGGGGAATGGGCGAGAGGAAGGAGGTGGGGGGACGAAGGGGGGCATGATCCACCGCCGACCGCTACAGCACCGCGCGCCTCTGCCCCGCGCCCGCCTCCGCGGCCCCCCGCCCTCCCCGGCCTCCCCCGCCGCCAGGGAGCCCCTGCCCCGCTCCCACTCCACGGCAAACCTCCCCCGGCTTCGCCTTTCGCCGCCCGCTCGGGCGCTCCCGGGGATGCCCCGTGCACTCCACCTTCTGCGGTCGCCTCCAAAGCTCCCGCTCCTACCCCCGCCACGACCGCCGGGGCTCTGCCCGGCCCCAATGCCCCGTCCGGGGAGGAGCCCCACTCCGCCCGCTCCCACTCTGTGGGGCGCTCCCCACTGCCGGCGCCCCATCCTCGGCATCCCTGTGCCCTTCAAAGCATTTCCTGCACAGAAAACTTGCCTTAAAGTTTAATGCTGCCGCCCGGAGCTCCTCCCCCTGCCCCGCCGGCTCCCCCGGCCCCTAGCCGGGGTCTGGAGGAGTCCCCGGGGCGGCGATAAAGGTCAGGGAGAGAATTCGTCCTGTCGCTGCTCCAAGGCTGCCGCCGGGAAGGGGGGTGGCCCTCCCGGCCCATCCCCTCCGCCCCACCACGGCGAGCGGCGGCGGCGCCTCGTTGCAGCCCACCCGGGAAGGGCTCCGCTGGCTGCCGCGGCCCGGCTCCGGCGGCGGGCGGGGAGCGAGCGGAGGAGGGGCGGAGGGATCGGCTGCATCGCGCGTGGAAGAAAATCTCCTTTCAGGTGGCTGCACAGCTGCACCAGAGCTACTAGCCAGCTCCAGGGTCTAGTGCTTTGAGGACTCTTGCTTCCATCCAGGGGCCTCGCATGGAGACCTTGTATCCAAAGGATCTAGCCGTTAGAGTACCTGTCTTGAATACATGGATTTCCAAGTGCTCTCATTTATTGCTCTAATTGTCCGCCCAGCGCCTGGAAAGCATATTCTGGGGTGAAATATGGGAGGAAACGAAAAGGAAGCAAACAGGTTTTTGGTGAACACTGAAAATCACAACAGTGTTCAGCAATTCACTTGCCTCAAAAATGTGTGAGCATTGGTATTTTTCTTTTCCCTCTCTATTTTAGTGGCTGGACCAGAACTGTCTCTAGATTGACTCCCTTAGCTGTAATAGGTATTTGGAACCATGGCAGCAGGAGTAGCAGCTTGGTTACCCTTTGCCAGGGCAGCGGCCATAGGATGGATGCCAGTGGCCAGTGGTCCCATGCCAGCTGCTCCACGGCAGGAGAGAAAGCGAAGCCAGGATTCTCTGATTGTGCTGAATGTGAGTGGCATCCAGTTCCAAACGTGGCTGGACACCTTGGAGCGCTACCCTGACACTCTGTTGGGCAGTTCAGAGCGGGACTTCTTCTACCACCCTGAGACACAGCAGTACTTTTTCGATCGGGACCCTGACATTTTCCGCCACATTCTCAACTTCTACCGTACCGGAAAGCTTCATTATCCCCGCCAGGAGTGCATCTCAGCTTATGATGAGGAGCTGGCCTTCTTTGGTATCATCCCTGAGATCATTGGTGACTGCTGTTATGAGGAGTACAAGGATCGCCGACGTGAGAATGCTGAGCGCCTGCAGGATGATGCCGATCAGGATCATGTAGCTGAGAGCTCCCTACCCTCAATGACAGCTCGTCAGAGGATGTGGCGGGCCTTTGAAAACCCCCACACTAGTACACTGGCTCTGGTCTTCTACTATGTCACTGGTTTCTTCATTGCCGTCTCTGTTATTGCCAATGTGGTGGAGACAGTGCCCTGTGGGGTAAGCCCGGGTCGCATCAAAGAGCTGCCCTGTGGAGAGCGATATGCAGTGGCTTTCTTCTGTCTGGATACTGCCTGTGTCATGATCTTCACCGTTGAATATCTCCTACGTCTGCTGGCAGCCCCTAGTCGCTACAAATTTGTGCGCAGTGTCATGAGTATCATTGATGTGGTGGCCATCATGCCATATTACATTGGCCTGGTTATGACAGATAACGAGGATGTCAGTGGGGCTTTTGTGACATTAAGAGTCTTTCGTGTCTTCAGGATCTTTAAGTTTTCCCGCCACTCACAGGGTCTGCGCATCCTGGGGTATACCCTGAAAAGTTGTGCCTCGGAGTTAGGCTTCCTCCTCTTCTCGCTCACTATGGCCATCATCATCTTTGCCACAGTCATGTACTATGCAGAGAAAGGTTCATCAGCCAGCAAGTTCACCAGCATTCCTGCAGCCTTCTGGTACACCATTGTCACCATGACAACACTGGGGTAAGTGCAGCTGGTGTTTGGTTACAGCCAACATTTCAACAAGTGTATTGGCACAAACGGAAAATACTCAATTTAAAAAGATGTTGATAGAAAAAAATGCGAGGGTAAGTTTTTATTACAGAACTTTATGAATACAACTTGTCACTTCTTTCTAAGTGTTTTACACATGTAAAGGAGTTAACAGCATTGCTGAAATTAAAATAACTGAAGCCTCAAAACTGCAGAAAAACTGAAAAAGCAAACAACAAAACAAAGCAAAAAAAAAAATCTTGAAACTCTTTGGTGTTGGACAGTGTAATTGGAATACTTTATGAATACCTGTAAGTTATCAGTGTATTTTGATGTATTAATGTATTTGCTGGTAGGACTTGATACAGTGTTGCTAAAGTAATAATAATTATAAGGAGAACCCCAGTGCAAGCATTTAAGTTGATCAGTATGTGGATCTGCCATTTTGTTTGAAGTGATGTGTTGATGTAGACTTGGATATTGAGTTCAGTATTACAAAGTGATTTGTTTTCATGGGAATTATAATTTATCCTCCCATTCCTCATTGTATGTAAAGCACTGAACACATTTCCTTTGATTTTCCTGGACCTGCAACTTTTAAGTGACAAGTATGCTACACTGACTGGTGACAGACTCTGGAAAATGATCCGAAGAAGTGTAAGGCATATGACAGATCAAGCATGTGTCTTTAAACATAATTCTAATGGCAGTATAAATTCTTTCAGAGAGTTAGGGGTTAAAAAGGTCATTGTTGACATTAGAATCCAATGCAGTTTAATGGGAAGAGGAGAGATAGTATTATCTTATGAAGTCTCATACCAGAGTCCGATTGTATCAGCTGATCCTGTGCACCAAGTTATAAAATGCATTTGTCTGTAATTATAACAGGCACTTAGAAAGTTGATTAATTTGAGATGACAATTTTTTCCCTGTTCTTAATTTTGAGCTGTATAGTATCATCTATGAAACTGAAATTTTTTGCTTCTTTTGAAACTGTCTAGTTATTTAAAAATTGCAGATGGTAAATGACAAACTTTTCACTTTCATGCAGGCAAAGACCATCATTTTGTTAGCATTTTGCCACATTTTGTTGAGACAGTTGAGATTTATGAAACATGTATAACTCTTAAATTTAACAAAATGAAAGTGCATTATGAAACTATTAGGAAAAAGTTGATTTATTATGTGCAATTGTAATTTAGTTGGGAAATGCACATACAAAATATTGAAAAAGATAAAGGGACTGTCTTATGCCACCATTTTTTATGCAAGGCTTTTATCTTCAGTGTGATATAACAAATGAAGATAAATATAGTGCATTGTAAATATTTCATACTTCTTGTAAGGGCAAGTTATGCTAAAAAGGAGTGACAAGAGCTTTGGGGATTTTAATCTGCTTTTTAGGTTCCTGAGGTTTTTTTTGGCTTTCATTTTCTTCTGATAGTGGCAAATGGGAAGTTACACACGCTAACTAGTTCCACAGTCTTGTATTTTGTGATGCTGATACTTTTTGCCATATATTTTTAATTAGAACTGTGATCATTTCAAGAAAGTAGATCCGAAAAATTTACTGATATTTAGAATGTATAATCTTATTATAAAAGAACAGAAGCTGGTGTGTGATTTTTTGTAATGAAAGGTATTTTCAGAGTAGGTTGTTTCCACTCTTATGGACAATGTGTAAAGTACTTGTCCATGGTACTGAACATAATCTTTTCTTTGTGCCCAATTTGCAACTGATCATCACACAAGTAGGGTATCTATTTGGCATTAATATGATTTCTTTGGTTTTTTGACCCACACATGAGTATTATTCTGTTGTTCCATGTTTTGAAGTATTACTCTAAGTAAAATCTTCAGAAGTACAGATGAGATTTGAACATGATTTAAAATCTCTTTGAATAGAGGCTAAGAACCTATTTTCAAGTACCCAACCACACAATATTTTGGTTCTAAGGGTTTTAAAAAGTCTTAAAAAGAATCCCGTCATGCTTAAATCCTTTTTCAAGGTATTTTGCATGGAGAAAGTTGTAAGTAGATTGTACAGAGATCCAAAGTCTCACCTTCAGAAGTTCAGATATGAGAGACATCACCAATTGCTATGAAATCTTTAATCAGTGCATTAGCTAGATGATGTCCTTTAATTAACATCATAATAACCATGTAAAGTTTATGTATAAATGATAAATATATATGAATCATTTAAATAAAATTAGCATAATAAAAGCTCTGAAGGCTTTTTAGTTGATGGAATAATTACACAAAAGGAGAGGGAAATTACAAGGAAAAGCATCAAGGGTCAGTGAAAACTGACTGTAATTAATACTGCTGCCTTTGCTCTGTGCTAGAACTTATTGCCTCCACTAATACAGAACTTCTTTTTAACTTTAGTTTTAGCTGAATCAGGGGTATATAAGTGGACTTGATAGGAACAACTTTTCTCTTTTAGGAAGAAAACTTCATGAAGTCTTTATGCTTTAAATGACAGTAGCGCAGAGGTTATGTGAAATCTTACAAAAATACATGAAGGCTAATAGTAAATAATAGATTAACATGAAGTTGAGTTTTTGAGTCATGGTGTCGTTCTCATAATTTGCTAGATAGTAAGGGTATTGAGTAAGTGAACTTTGCAATTTGGGGAGTTATTACCTTGGAAGCAGAGCCATATTTCTCAGTTCTGCATGATTGCTGAGCAATTAAAGTGTCTTTAAAAAACATAGATTGCATTTTCCTCTTCAGAGTGCTAGTGACTTCAAATATTACTACTTTTTTGCCTCCAAGGATATCCCAGCTATTAACTGCTCTTGACTGCTCAGCTCAAGTAATGCATGTACATAGAGATGTTATATGAAATAAATGAAAAAGGAATGAAAGAAAGGGAAGAATGAAGGAAAGGAAGAGAGAAAGTGAGGAAAAAATAAAGACAGAGAGAGAGAAGAGAGAGAAAGAGGGCTCTAGAATAACAGCATACACTCTGCCAGAAACTGAGCTGTGTGGTTTTAAATTTTAAACTAGTGTTTTATCAGGATTAATTGTAGCAAAAGCAAAAGTAAAGTACAAACAAGAGGGAAAAATAGAATAAAATTGAAAGAGGTCACAAAGCATTTTATGGAGATTCAAGATAACAATGAGAAGCATAGAAGTTAGGGGAAGAATCAAGATAGTGTAAAACTTTGCAGAGAAAAAGTTCAAGTCTGTTGAATTGGGACTGGCAGACTTCCATGGGGGCTTGTGAACATCTACACCCATAATGACAGTTATGGCACCTTCTGCTGTCACCTTATTACATGATAATCTAATAACTTTCCTTCTACCCTGTCAGTAGCCAGCAAATGAGCTGGAATAGCTGCTAAGGTTTTGGTGGTGTAAGGGTAATGTTTGTTCCTAAGTCAGTCAGAGCTGTAGTGTGTGTTTTATAAAGATATTATATTTTAAATAAGGAACATAGTGCTCTTCTGTGACTAGTTCTAAAGCAATCTCACTGCTATATTAAAATTCTATATTTACAGGCTTTAGATTGGGTAGCTTTGTCAAGTCACACAATGCTCTGTAGATGAGGACAATACTTTATGAAGGGAAGCCTAAACACAACTCATTTATTTGCTTTGATTTTATAAACTAGAGATGTGTCTTCAAGCAAAGATATAGCAACCAGTTGTTTTCCTTATTTGTTAATATAGCCCATAATGTATGAGGGATCCCACCTAAGATGTATCAAATTCCCCGAAGACTTATAATCAAACAGATGACTAGATGTGACAACAGAAAGTCTCAAACAGTGAACAGGGGAACAGGGCAATTTCCTTTTCCTGCACATTCTGTTCTTTCCCATCTTCACTCCTTTTCAATTCTTTTTGCATCGCTACAGATATGTTCTATCTATTTCTTTTCTCCATTTTTTTTCAAACTACCACTTCTCGTAGTTTTCCTGTTTGGGGTTTGTCTACTGGCTTGGCACCTTTCCTCGCATCTTCACGACAAGGTTAACATTCTTAATAAGGACTCCTCTGGCCTCATTTTTTCTGCTTCTGCTTCTGCTCCTTGTTCCAGATTCCTCATTCATCCTTCACCACTAGATCAAATCTTTCATTCATCATCATTTTCATTCATTTGACCTGAACTTTTCTCAGAACATACTTTTTGTCCTGACCTTTGTTTGATAGATTTTTTTCCTTATGAGAATCACAAAATTTCCACATCATCACTTTTTTCTGAAATGCCACACATTATGTTGTTTTCTTTGTCTTACCATTGTGCCATTGTGAGTGCCTTTAGTTCCTTATGGTCTCTGCATTCTAGTTTGAAATAATCCATCTCTTCAGAACTTATATTAAAAAAATTAGTTCAATAAAATCTGATAATAGAGCACAAAATTCAAAATCTTTGTTTTGTGAGCAATTTCATTAAAAGTTCAAATATACTCTTATGGTGAATATTACAAAGGATTACCAAAGTTGGGATATTATTTCTGTATTTTGTGTTGGCTCATTCATTTATTTTTGTTTGATATTTTTAACTCTGTTTCAAATAGAATTTTTCTATTTTTGTCTTCTTATACACAACCTACTGAATTTTCTATTCTACAAATGTGTTTGATTTCTCAATCTATTTTCTTTTCACAGCAGAGACATTTCGCCTGAATAGTTAGAATACTATATAACAGATGAGGGGCAAAGTGTAGTGTGATTACCTTCAAAGCACATGGCTAGATATTCAAAAAGGGCTCCAGGGGGAATCTGTAATATTAAAGGTCATTTTGATGGCAGTAAAAAAAAATTATTTGTTCTCTAATAAAAAGATTACTCAAACTGCATTGGGCTGTTGTTGGCTTGACAGAGAACGGAGTCATTGTATTCTTATTTAGTTCCACTGGGGACCAGCTTTTGTCTTCAAAAAAATCCTGAAGATCTCTTACAGGAAAAGAAGTTAGCTTATTTCACTCATTTTTCTTGAGCATGAATTTCCTTAGTTCAGTTATGAAGAATATGAAGGTGA